CACAATAGAAAACCCATTAGTATGAATACAATATGTCATCTTAAAGCATTTATTTATAGTTATTAGTTAATTTGTTTGTAACATTTTAAGAAATATGGTGAGTTAGATTAGAAGAGTGATACCCCACTCATAAACGTTAGTGCTTAATATGAAGCTCCAGCAAGCGGTTGTTTAGCTTAGCTTAGCATAAAGACTGGAGGCAGGAGGAGAAAGCTCTATGCAAGCAGCTCTAAAACTTCGAAATAACCCCCTTATGATTTTATTCTTGTAATATTTTGTCTTGTTAATTTACTAATTTTTTCTAATTATTTCATGGCTTTCTGCTCAACTACAACTTAATTCTCATAATATTGACTTTTTTCTTGTTAAATTACATCTATTTTTACAATATCATAACTCTCTTCAATAACAACTTATTTCTTATATTATCTCTCAAAACTTCATCAATTTGATCCTAATACTTCGTGGTACTAACATTCTTCTTATCTCCTCAGATACTCACAGTCAGTTGATTTAATTTTTATATGGAATAAACACATAAGATATAGATCTGTAAATGCTGAGCCTCAGATACGCTAGTGGGGGCATTTCTCCTTCCTTTGGGACAAACCAGGTTTGCTGTCACCCCCTGTTTGCATTCTCCATGATAAGCTAAGCTGATTGGCTGTTAACTGTGGTCTCATATTTACCGTACACACAGAAGAGAGGACAATATTAACCTTCTCATCTCTTGGTAAGAAAGCTAATAAGCAAATGTCCCGAAAAGTCTCCATCATTTGAATTGTAGATTTTGTTCTTTTGAAGATGTGGGAAGCTGCTGTTCCAGTTGGTGTCTGTATTGTAGTGCACACAGAGCACTTCTCCCCAAGCTTTCACACAGTACATTGTACTGAGAGGTGATTTGTGTTGGAGTTGCCTTTGGAGGCAGAACTGATGCTTTTGTCTCTGTGCACCCGAGCACATTTCATACATGTGCCTCCATACAGGGTGATTTTGACTTGTGTGGGTGTAAAAAGCGCAGAACATTGAAATTCATCCAGTTAGTTCAGTATATTACTCAGTATATACTGTTAACAGCATATTCAGCTGTTATACAGAACCTGCATGGTTTGTGAGAGACTATGCCAATTTTTATCATGAAACAGAGACTTGTGGGTATCCCTTGTCATCCCATCTGTGTCACTGTGTTAGCATGAATTAGAACCGCCTGCTATCCTATTTCCATGCAGGCCACACGCTGCACCATTGCCCTTGGCATGGCGTGGCCTAATCAGTGTGCCAACAGAATGTACTGTAGTACACCCTCATAGCTGAGATAGAAATAGAAATGCATTGTATGTAGATATAGATGAGGGTTAAGCACACGGACATCAATAGACAGGCATATTAGGTTTTACATTTTTGTATATACTGCAGGAAAAAAAAGACACCCGGAGACACGAGAGCAAACCAGTAGCCCCTGGCTGAGGCGCACAGCAGACTAGCGACTGACAAGTACAGTACGGGTCATTATTTTTGATTGACACTTAGCTATGTGTGCTATGCCGGTGAGTATGCTTAGGTCGGCATAGCTCTGCTTTGAATTGGGATCACTGCCTTATATAATAATGGAATGCAAGCAACTATGCATAATCACATAAACAAGCATCTTATATCAGTGGAGTGATAAAGAAATATTATACTTACACCAAAGCAAATAAATAGAAATAGACCAATCACACTGGCAGGAAAAGCAACATGAATTATAACTTCATTTTAAATTAAGTGAGTATGTCCCTGAGCCAGTATTTATGAGATGTAATAAATTATGTGTCATTAATTACACCTATGCTTTTAAGTTATTAAAGTCAAAATATCTGCTTTAAAAATTCTATAAAGTTGTGTTTTGTACTATTTGTTGAACCAGTAACTTTATGCATTTAATTCATTTTGTGAGTTCCAGTGAACATGTGAAATAAAAGGTTTATCAGTAGTATTCTGATGACATTGCAAAAAAACAACACATGGTGTGGACTCTTCACCACCTTCTCATTACACAAATAAATAACTATACATGCTACTAATCCAATTCCTCACAAATGCAAATGATACAATTAAAGCCTCACAACCTGTTATGCACAGTCCAAAAGTTTAATAGGTAAAAGTCGCATAATACCAGTATAAGAGCTTTTTGTTACTGGACACAGTTGGAAAAGCACAGATTTTACAAAAAGAAATTAATAATGCATCCAATCTTTTTGTGTCCCATGCATGCACAACACCAGGACTCTGAAAGTGAAGCCTTTACATGGATCTCAGACACAGTCATCTCCATTATCTACACCTGTGCTTGTCTAACTGCGATATGTCAAAATGTACCCAGTGAAAAGGGTCTGTTTTTCTTGCGAGCACAGTTTCAACAGTAACTTGGACATGAATACATCCAAGCTTTACAATGCAAACATTTTCAGAGTATAACGTGTCAAGTAAAATATGCACTGCACAAAATGAAGGGAATAACTGCTGGTACAAACAATTTTGAGAGAATTCCCTCATTGTAAGGTCCCTTAAAGGTTCTTCTGTGTCAAATCATGTAAATTAGTCTGATACACAACCGATTGCACACATGCGCACAGACACACACACGCGATAGCATTTTAGTGTAGCCACCTTTGGATCTCCCTTATCCAACAAGAGTTTTGATCTGTCCTGAAACGTTTTCAGTTCATAACAGTCAGTCACGGTCAGTGGAGTGGTACATCCAGATACAAATAAGCAATAATACAGAAGTTTGGCAAACTGGAGGCAAAACTTCAAACACAGCAGAGACAACTGAATGATATTTACCTCCGCCAAGAGGGTTATGTTTTCATCACTATTTGTCTTTCTTTTAGGACGATTAGACAAAAACACTAAACTGATTTTATTGATTTTTGGTCGAAGGGTGAGGTATGGGCCAAAAAAAATGACAACTTTTGGAGTGGATTCATTCAAGGAGATGGATCCAAGATCCACTTTTTTATGATTGCGAGATGGGACATTTCTTGACAAATTGTTAAATTCTCAAGGTATAATACAGAAATTTGATAAATTTAGTGGACTGACATCAATGAGTTATTTGAGTTATTCATGGAACAAATTCCTTCCTGAACTGTCTTATTGCTGTAAATCTCTGTAAATCAAATGAATGAATGAATAAAACTGGGATTTACTAAACACTTAATTCACATATTATCTTATTTTCCCCCAAAATACAAAAATTATACATTTATAGATCTTTTGTATCCTGCCTTTTCTTTATTACTTACATGAACTGGTCGGTCTCACAGTTTATACACATCTCATAAGGCTTTGCGGTGCATCAACAGTGCATGCAGAAACAAACAGACAGGACACTGCACTCAAACTAGCAACCCAACACAGAGACAGAGAGGCCTTAATCAATTATCACACTCTTTCGTTTACTTGCCATCCAGCAGGGGTCCGCTGCCAGAACAGACCTCAGCAGATGTCACATGTTGGCTCTCCACTTGGTAAATACTGTGGATCCTCAGCACACGCATCTTGACTGCTTTTTCATGATAGTCCACATGCACACATGTTGGAGCACAGATTGTCACATTAGTGTTGGCAAAAGCTCGGCCACACACACACGGCTACTTCACACACGCTGAGTTGAACATGTATGTGCACACTTCGACTCATGTACATGGACATAAATGGATTATATAAATGCATTTAATCCGCACATTTCATACGAATGAGTACTGACAACAACACGTTCAGTCTTACAAAGATGTTGTGAAGCTGTGTCACAATTCTCTTACTATGTTGGGTGCCATCATGGAGGTCTCCACTGCTATATGAGTGGGGTCTAGAAATACAGTAGATTTTGAATAATTAGTATCCAATTTGTAATATTTCAAGATCAAAAAATATCATATTATTAATTGATTATTCCACATAGGCCTAACATATATGGGGAAAGAAGTCTCCAATCTATTCGCTATCTTTAAATATAAGAAAATACCCTTTGGTTGCAAAAAGTAACAATGGCTTCTTGTGCAGAAGAGCAATATGAACATAGAGATTTTTTCCTTCTGGCAAAATCTTTTGGAAAAACTAACAGTTCACACCAGTTTATGTGGGTTGACGGTCTGGGCACTGCTGTTCCTTTGCTGCTCTTGGCTGGACCCACATGGTGGTTAAAGAAAAAGTTTGACATTTTGGAAAATCTTCCTGTTTCTTTCTCCCTTCAAAGCCTCAGATGAGGAGATTGATGCCTGTCTCATATTTGTCTGTTGCAACAGCGAATGAACTTTACTTGGTGTCACACAGCAGCAGGAAATATGAAGAAACAGCTGGCAGGAGGATTTTGTTACCTCAGCACAGAGCCAGGCTGGTTTGTTCCTGCCTGTTTCCACACGTTATGTTACTCTGAAAAACAGAACATTGTTGGACCAATGTAAAAGAAATGACGTCAATTGGTGACAAATCAATTCAGTACAATTTTTAATTAACAAATAATAAAATAACATGATTAATTTTTGTTTTTAAGTTGGTAAACAATTTAATTTTCCAGCGTAAGCTGAGGGACAGTTGTTGCTTCATGTTTTCTGTTTCTTGATCTTGATCTTAATTATGTTGCTATAGGCCTAGATCGTCAGAGGGACATGTCACATGTTTCTCTTTCCTCCTCTGTGCTCTGTTACACATGGCATCTATTGCACTTGGAGAGGGATCCCTCACATGTGACTCGCTCTGAGGCTTCTACATATGTTCCCTGCTTTGGTAGTTTTTCCTCACTCTTGTTGAGGGTTAAGATCAGAGCGCCTTCGGCCCTATAGTGATTTGTGAATATGGGCTATAAAAATAAAATTTGATATATTGATTATTTTTGATTTTTGTTTAGACTTTGTGGTTTTGATCATCTTACTTTAATCTTGACAAAAAAACTCATCTTCGCAAATGTCTAAATAAACCAAAATGAGCATGTTTTCCATATATCTACACCAGCCTGTTATTTCAGAGCAATAATAACCACCTTTCCTGATTTGTTCTGTAGGGATGAACATTTCCCACTCAAATGTTTCACAGACCTCCACTATGGCAGCCAGAGTGTGTTACATCACCTGAAAGCCCACTACAGATGAGTAGAATGACATTCCCTGTATCTGACGAGTCCTCTCTCTTCTCTCTCAGAGCGGAGCCTGTTAAACAGACTCTGGACTTTAATTGGACTTCGTAGATTGTCCTGGAAGTTGACTGGAGGCACTGTGGGAATCCATGGCATCATCCTTTAAACATTGTGTGAGGTTTTTAAATTCCCGTTGCCATGGTCACTCCTGGCTCGTGAGGTGCGGCCCATCTCGCTGGTTTCTTCCTCCTCCTCGTCCACTTCCAGCTGTTCATCTTTTTTCTTGATGTAGCGCTCATAGAGCACCATTATGGCGCCCATCACCCAGGCCGACACGGTGCCAGCAGCAAAGATGACGAAGCCGATGGCGATAAAGAAAAGGTAGTCCCAGGAGCCCAGAGACTGGTGACATAACGTCCGCAGCTGGATGCCCACCTCACCCAGTCGACGGCCCTGCATGTCAGCAGGTGAGCCGCACACGGTCTGGCCCTCATCTGTCACGCAGAAACACACCAAGAGAGAATGAAGAGCATTAATCAAAGGATTACAACATTTAAAGTGAAATTCATAGCACTCAGAATAAATTTATTTTTTTCCACAGATCTCAGAAATCGCCCTGAACAATATTCTCAATATCTTCTCTAAGATCACAGAAGTTAAAAAGATTACCAACAATAAACTGGAGAGCACAAAGTATATTGTCTCCTGAACATGTGTTTACCAGTGAGTATTACATGTTCAGGATGTTGTTATGTCACCTGCTTGTAAAAGAATCTGTGGATACATAGATTCATAAAATCCCTCTTCCCCTCTGTCACTGATCTTTTTTATCAAGTTCTTTAACTTTAAAGTCGACAAAGTCTTGAGATTTTAATGGAAACCTGTAAGGAGCCTGGATTTTCAAAATAAGCCCCCACTATAGTAACTGGATGATTTCAAAATAAGATTTTCAACACACATGGTTATTCCTTTACTAACAGTTAGTAAATCTGCATTACAGTTGGTCAGAGACGGATACACGTGTACACAAATGTTACTCAGTAGAGTGCATACGTCCATTATTTGGATCTGAACCAAAATACGCACATATATATCATAAACATCAGTACCCTAATCATTGCTGATTTTTTTCATCAAGGTCCATGAGTTATTCTCTGAGAAAAATATTCAAAAATGCAACACAAAATGTTAAAGAACAATTTTTAAAGAGCATCATATTTCCTGGCTCTTTAAAGTGAATTAAACTGCTGACCTTCTCTGCAAATACCAAGTGACATTTCTCATAGTATAAATATTCACTGCCTTGGTAATTAGCATACGTTTTTAAGAATTCTTTGATGTTGTGAGAGCCACGACAAAATGCACAAATAATTCAGCAGGAAAATTATTCTACATATGGCATTAATCACAGCAGCCTGTTAAATCATTCATGAACACATTACGACATATTATTTTACATAACATTTGCAAATGGCAAATCTGACGCAAACTGAGCAGAAGATATCCATAATACATTCGGGTTCAACTGCGCTTGCATAACAATGTTGCCCTCCTTATCAGAAAACTGGGGAGCTTCCCATGTACGACAGTCTTGAGTTGATGCAGCATTGAGTTTAAAAAATCATAGATGAATTATTCAAACCCTTTTCTCCCCCACAGGATTAGAGAGTGACTTGGGCCTTTGTGTCTGCCTGACACCACTGATAATAAGGTTTCATATCATCAGGCGCGGGTACAACTACGACTAAGACCTTGCTGAAATCCACAAATCCTAACAAAAATGTAAAAAAAACCCCTGTCTCCTAGCTCTCACAAAACTACAGTATGGATCCAGTTTCAAAGGCCTTTCAGTCAATATTAACGTTGTGGATGTTGAGCTCTGCAGCCGCTGACAAGAGATGCATTTTTCAGGAAATAATCCTAAAGCCTTTTGTTACTGAGAGCAACAACACAACAGAATGTCGCCATCTCCACACGGCCGCTGTTTTTAATTGGCATCTGTGTTTTCAGAGCATTTGTGCTGAGGGGATTTCCCACAGGGAGAGATGAAAAGACTTGGAAGTTTCTGCACAGGGAACAGTTTTCCATATAACCCTGTCTCTAAACAGCTTTAAAATACACGCTCTCATTTTGCTGCTATATATTGTAGCGTCTGCATGTAAACAGTTGCTGCTTTGCCTCTCTGCAGCCTGATATATGTGGAAAATATGGATCGACACTCAGTAATTTAACTTCCTGTACAATGCAGTTAGCTGACACTCTGAACATGTTGTCCTCTACATCAGGAGTTACTGAACTTGTTTGTCTTATGTACCTACACGTCTCTATCAGATGAACTGAGTACCCCTTCATCAACACCATCATCATGTTCCAAATGCTGATGTGAATTGACTTTTGAAGTGTACGGTTAATAAAACTTCTGAAATATATTTAATACTATGTTGTTGTTAAAGTCAATTTCTCGATTACTTTTGCAGTCTGTTTCAACTGAAGTTGGTATGCACAGATTGAGCTGCGCCTTGAAAAACTGTCCATCGTTTATCTTCTGCTCTGACATGTAGCTCCAGCAATGCTGCCTACCATGCACCAAATGTGCCATCAAATATGTCGAAAAAACAGAGACAACTTAGATGTATGATTAACGAACATAAAAGTATCATCCACCGTGCTGAACCTCAATAAGCTGTTGCTAGACGCTTTGCATGATGTGACCCAACCATCTTAGGGTTAATATAAATCAAATTGTACTCCAATGTTAATGTAGATATATGTTTTACCTTAAAACACTCCACCTAATACATTAAATGAAGAATGGACCTGACATGATGCTTGTCTCTTTGTACTAGTTATTCCAATGTGCATTCCATCGATGTATGTCTGTATACCAGCCCCTACACGGCATGTTCCACGGAGAAATAGGGGAAGTGGCTGATATCAAGAGATCCTACCAGTGGCTGGAAAAGGCTGGTCTGACAGACAACCCAGAGGCACTAATCATGGCAGCACAAGAACAGGCCTTAAGCACAAGATCCAAAGAGGCTAGGGTCTACCACTGCAGACAAGACCCAAGGTGCAGGCTGTGCAAAGATGCCCCTTCAATGACGTGAAGAGTTCATTTACTAGGAAATTTATAGGATGGCAGAAATTCCTAATGCAATATTCCCTCAGTGCTTTTTTTCTGTGACGCTTTTCTGTGGCTCAGACGGCTTCTCTAAGCTCCATCTACCACAGAGAAGTCAATGCCTGCTCTGATCCTGTGCGCTGCTCACACAAAATGCAAATGTCTTAAAACACATGTGTCCACCCATGGAGAAAACACACATATGCACACACTCTCTAATCTCATATGCACAAACGCCCTCCACAAGAACCAACTTTCCCATCTACTATTTGTGCCCTTGCAGCATGTGTGTGTGTGAGTGTGTGTGTGTGTGTGTGTGTGTGTGTGTGTGTGTGTGTGTGTGTGTGTGTGTGTGTGTGTGTGTGTGTGTGTGTGTGTGTNTGTGTGTGTGTGTGTGTGTGTGTGTACACATATACCCATGCAAGTGTTTGTGCCTGACAGCCAGGAAGGAAACCCTTCTGGCTTCACCCCCACCACTCATCCTCCTCCACCCTCATGGGACTGGCATCAAAGAAGAGGGCTTTCCCTCTTTCCTTCCCCCAACCACTCTCTCTGCTCTATTTCTAGACACTCTCCTTATATAACAGCTGAACGAGTGCTAATCCAGCCAGGAAGGCGAGACAGAGGAGAATCTGTTGGTTCCTTCCTGAAGCTTTCTCTCCCTCTCACTCGCTCGAGCGCTCACTATGATGCGTTTCCTAAAACAAGTAGACAGGCGACTCGTGTTGAATGAACCAGGTGAGACCGAGATGACAGATACCAAGGCTGCGGAGACAGAGTTTGGAGCCGAAACAGTTGTCTGAAGAATGTTAACCTTCTGTCTCCTCCCCCTAAAGCACTAGAAGTCGGTTCTGTGTGTGTTGACATGCATGAATGTGTATTTGTGGTTTTTCTATGCATGTGTCCCCACATGTCTACATGGATTAAAGACACAAGGTGCTCAATTTAGGCGAGATTGAGGTGTTGTCTGTGTTGCTGGCTGCTTGACAAAACGATGACCAGACTATGTGTGTACATAGCAGAGATGGAGAATGTGTGTGAGAGTGTGTGAGAATGTGTGTGAGAGTGTGTGTATCTGCGTGTCCGCCTTCTCCCATGCTGGCAGCTGTCACTGGAAGAGGCTCCACTCCAAATTAAGAAAAACAAAAGGCAACGAGCAGCAAGAAAATAGGACAGCTCTTGCAGGATTCAATTTGGACTTGAACTAAGCTTCACAGGGACCATGGTGAACTGCTGTGTGTGCTTGTGCATAAGAGAGAGGAGCAGGGGATGCCTTTTTACTATGAGTGGTGTGCATTCAACAGCTATAGTGTTAGAATTATGCCTGGCTTCTTGCTCACTAAGACGCACTATAAATAGCTGCTGCCTTTTGCATATTGACACATCCACACTAAAAAGTATCTGGAATATCAAACACATCTATCAGCTACACCGAAATAAAACAAAAGAAAGAGCAATCGATATTTGATGGTGCCACTGTGATCTATTTATCACACCTGCAGGAAACTATCCCGCTCGCTAAATAGAACAGAGGTCGATAAGCCATTTCTGGGATAAACGACTCACTGTTTTCCTCCCTGCAGCGAGCATTCAGGGCTAAATTAATGAACACGGTTGCTAAAAAAGAAATCAAATGGCTCCCAGTCTCTGATCTTCTTTCACCCACTTTGTTATTTGATAGTCTGAATGCTGTCACGCTCCACTGTCGACACCTGCGCCTCATCCCACTGAAAGCTGAGAGAGGGTTGAACTTTGTAGACTTGGATAAAGCCGGCCGGTATATTTAGCATATGATATACACCCTGTCTTACCATTAGCAATGATGCAGTTGTGGGTGACGACGTATAATGATGGTTGTGATGATTGCGTGTGCTCAGGGGTGCAGACGTGACAGAGCGTTTTGATGTGACATGTTTAAGTGACATGGTTCAACACAAGTAAGCATGGAGTCACTCCTTCATTGAAGGGCTCTGAGGAATATTAGTGCTGCTTTGATAGAAATCACTTCAACTAAATCAGCTAATTTCAATCCCTCCCTTTTGTTTTTCTGCAGATTTAATAATCCATCCTTTATTAATTACTTGTTTTATAAATAGTCAATACATATTTTATAAAGCTTAATATGACAGTGTTAGGGTTACCAGGTTAGAATTTTGAAAAATCACCCTGCTGCAAAGTGGGCAACAGGGACCCTAAGCTCCAGTTCGAATGGATCTTTTTGCACACAGCCTGTTCAAGGTGGAATTATTCTGCTTTTATTCTGCATCACTGTCTTGTATAAAAGATGCAAACATGGATGCTGGCAGCAGATGAGGCCACAGAGACTCAGTGGCTGTGTGCAGCTGGAATGGCGTGAGAGATGCCCACGCTGATGTTTTGCATGTCATGCCTCTGACTGCGGGAAGCCACCATGTAATGTGACATCACACACGAGGTTACAAAATGCTGGCAAGTTTCTTTCCATGTAAACAAGCAAAAGTGGCATAAAGAGAAGCCTTCTTAATGGAAATCCTGCAAGATCTCCTAAGGGATGATCGTGTAGATGATGTTATTGAAAATGTGTTTGGCAGTATAGAGCACTGTTGTCAACCATCAGTTGGCATGATAAGCTTGAGAAGGTCTGCTGTAATCCTGATGCCTCTTTGGCAAAATTTAGTTTTACAACTTTTTATGTAAATACAATCAAAATTCAAATCTATGGTTAATTTTTGTCCAGCGGCCCAGTAGCACTGGAACATGTATGAATGTATTAACTGATACATAAAGCAACAGCATTTTATAATCTATAATTTTGACAACAAATCTACACTATTAGTTTCTCTCTTTATAAAAGTTAAAATAATAGTGAAATAAACAGTATTTCTACAATCTAAGCTGTCTGCTTTCTCTTTCATAAAAATTTTAAGTTGTCTGTTAATATAAAATAAATAGAAACATTTCCATCTCTTCGTGGACACAGACCAGTCATTGAGCAGGAAAAGACCAGTAGTTTATATAAAAGATTATCTAATAATTAATAACTAGAGCTCAGGGGTCCTCATGTTGGACAAATCCGCTCCTGACTCGTGAGGTTCGTGATATTGTGCACCTTATATCATATAGGAATGAAATAGAATAAATAATTTATAGGACCTTGGAACTTGAAGCCCTCCAGGTGGACCCACAGGCACAGGTCCTCGTTGTCGCACTCGCAGCTCCAAGGATTCCCGCTGAGTCCCACGGAGCGCAGGGAGGTCAGAGAGATCAGGGAGGTGATGTTGAGCACCGTCAGATTGTTCCTGCTCACATCAAGAACCTGGAGCGCTGCGTTCTCCACAAAGGTGTCCGGGTGGATCTCCGACAGCCCCGGGTTGTCCGTCATCCTCAGCATCACCAGACTCGCCAAGGGGCCGAACGTCCGGTCCTCGATTCGGGTCAGGGTGTTGAAGGAGAGGTCCAGGTAGGCCAGCTTGCGTAGATTCCCAAACGTGGACTCTGATATCTCGGTCAACGAGTTGTTGCTGCAGTCCAGGTACACCAGATCCGAGAGGTAGTTGAGCGTCAGCGGCGGCAGCTCCACGATGCGGTTGTTGGAGATGATGAGCTGCCGCGTGCCCAGCGGCAAGTTGACCGGGAACGTGGTCAGATGTTGCCCGGCGCACTGAACCACCAGCTGGTCGTCACACACGCACCTGTCCGGGCAGCCGGCAGAGATCACCGGGGACGCGATCACCCCCGTGGCGAGGAGAAGCACAACTATGAGCCGCAGGGGTTGCGCGCTTGGCTGCGGGGCAAGACGCATGTCACCGCCGAGGGCTTCATCCACCCCGTTTGGAGAGAGTCAGGCGCAGTCACATTCTTCATTGATATATCCTCGCCAAATGATTAATCACAGAAATGCTCTCCACAGAGGTCAAACCTTTGAGCCTGCCCGTGGCGGCACCCTCTTGCGCGTAATGTCTCAGTTCATCCTGTCTTCTCCCGCGTGGGTCCAGAGCGCGCATCCACTGTCTGGAACTTGACCATCACATGTTTTCATGCTGCTTCATGTGTCATCGGATTGAACGAGTTTCTGACATCGGAACATACTCGGGCATAAGCTCACGTCGTCCTCTCACGCTGCGCTGCTCCTGATGATCACAGTCAGTTGCTCCTCCAGCATGTCTCGCTTTTCCGAAACTGAATCCAAAACATGGGGGGGGGGGGGCTCAAGTGCACAGCGGCGGATGGGGGTGGGGGGGTTACGTGCTGTGGGGTGATCTGACGCCTTGGACAGAGCTGGAGCTCCAGGCAGCAGAGCAGAGGTAATGGAAGACTAGCATTAAATATTGAGGCCATCTAGAGCAGCTGGAATAAAGGTGACCTATAATGCTTCATCTGCAGGCATCACCACCATACCTCAGGTGTGGGAGCATGTGAGTGCAGCCATATCAGACATGTGTGCGTGTATGTGCGTGTGTGAGGATACATTTTAGCCTATACAACATACAGAGTGAGGACATTTTGGGAAAGTGAGGACATTTTGGCCAGTCCTATTTGAGGGTTAAGACTTGATTTTCGGGTTAGGGTTAGGCATTTAGTTGATGGTACTGTTAGGGTAAGGGGCTATAGGGAATGCATTATGCCAATGAATGTCTTTACTAAGACAGATTTACAAACGTGAGTGTGGATATTTTTAGAAAGTGAGGACATTTTGACAGGTCCTCACTTTCTGAGTCACCTTCAATCGGTGTTTGAGTGTAACACTTGTTTTGGGTTGAGGTTAGGGTAAGGTTTGGGGTTAAGTTTAGTTTTAGAGTTTGGTTAGGCGTTCAGTCATGATGTTAGTGTATGGGGCCACCAGGAGTGCATAGGGCAATGAGTGTTCTCATCAAGAATGATAGGGCCATTTTATGGGGAATATGCACTCCTCCTGTCATGTCGTGTGTGTGGTGTTTGTGCATGTGTTGCATAAACAATCAGCCTTTGCCTTCATTGTGTGTGTGTGTGTGTGTGTGGAGGTGGAACAAGAAGCAGGTGCACCTGACACCTGAGATTGTGTGAGATAACATAACATGGGGTTTTAAGCTCTAGTAATAAGATAGTGAACCAATTATAACAATGTGCTGAGTGTGGGGGATCCCTATCAGCCCATCACCTCTCAGGCCCGTATATGTGCAGTGAGACTTTCATGACAATGACTGACATATCTGCCACTGGCAACCAGCCGAACTCTGCCCAGTATCCAGCCAGCAGACGGTTGGACGAGATGAGATGGGACAGGGTGGTCTCAGGCAGCAGTTGTTCTCTCCTTCCCTCTCCAGTCTAAGTGAGAGTCCCGAGTCTATTCTCGGTTCTGTGTGTAGGTGTTGAAGTGCTGAATCAGACTCGGCATGATGGAGGAGGAGGAGGAGGAGGACAGATGTGCCGCTGACAGTCCTCAGCTGAGAGTCGACAACCAGCTGCACACTGACCCCACTCTCAAGTCTCACACACGCGTACGTCCACATAAAGAAGTTTTTTCCTGCTATTCCCTGGTGTAAAAAAGAGCAGGAGGGCTGTAGGCATATATAAACCTAGTGCTTTTTTTACACATGCTGGGGCTGAGTGGATCCACACCGCTGTTTGAAGCCAGGGATGTTACGTGACCTCATGAGGACATCTAGTGATGAATACTTGGTATTGTTCTGAACAGTGAATATACAGAGTCCCTGGCTTAGGACTGACCCAAATGCATAAACAGTATTTTTGTTGACAAGTTCAATTCCTACATTCTTTCTACAAGTCCTCTTCTCATCAACCATTACAATGTCAAATAATTAATGACTTTGCAATGTACTTTATTTATGGAATAATGACTTCAATTGCAAACCAATTTTTTAAATCACTTTTATGGATATTGTACAATTCATTGACTAATAAAATGCTTTATTATCAGCTCTGTGGCACTTTAAACACTGTAAAAATAAATGCATTAAAGGTTTTTGATCATAACAGGCGGGACTTTCATGCCTTTCTCTCACTGCAGACTCATCTGAGGTTGATTACACTCTAACTAACCACTGAAATATTTTGGGAGTGTATCAATATATCAACCAGTGATTGCAACTGCTGTGGACATGGCAAACACAGCAAAGTATGAGTCATCCCTGGAAGTGATAAGTGAGCATTGTGCTCGCTGATTATTCTCAGGGGTTGTTAATGTGTGCTGTAAGTGTTTGGCAGAAAGGAAAGTGTGAAAAGCAGTGCTTGTATGTTTTTCATTTATTGTGTAGCTCTTGATTTGTGTCTTACTGTGAAAGAGTAAAACAGATGTGCTGTGGATTGGGAAGGTTACACTTTATTTGTTCCAAAGTAAATCCTTTTATGACATAAAAAACAAACAAACTTTGACCTGTTCTTGAGCTTGCCATGAATCCTTATCCAAGATCACCTGCTATGCCAGTGACGTGTCATCCAGCTCCATCAGCCACTTCCTGGATTCTCCTCCCTGGACAAACACTTTGGTCTGTTCATGGATCTCCTGCACTGGCACTTGATTCCCCATGACTCTTGCTCCCTCATTTTGGTTTGATAGCAGGTCTTGTTGTTCGGTAGCCACCTTGCATTTTGTACTTTGTCACACTTATGTTGTGTGAATAATGGAGCTTAGAACACAAAGATTCTTTGGTACATATTTTCAATCAATAACAGCTGGGGCTCAAGGGGGCAGGGGCTCAAGTGACAAAAAGAGCACTTCTCAATTAGAGAATTAAAGAAAACGTCCAAAAAAACACATTTAAATGGTGTTTGTTAACTGTATTTATTTTTGTCTTTAGACAAATTAACTAGAAACCTGAGGCACTAGTTTAGTCCTTCCTTCATCACCACTCAGCTCCTCTCAAGCAAAGAAAATTCACCACAACTGGAACAGTAGCTGGGAGATGTCGCCTGTCTGACATGACTGCCAGTGACTGTGTGCTCATTAAAGGTGTGCACCTTCACTAGCCTCACAATTAAAGCAGTCAGTGATTCAAATGCACAACAACGCATCTTGATGCATTTCAAAGTATCACATCCACAATTTCCTATTTTACTGCACATGGCTGTTAATAAAATCAGTCAGATAGTGCTTTAAAAAGTATTACAGACTGTTACTGTTATTAAAAGTGTGCTGAAATGAAATTCAAGGTCAGTGCTTTCCACACTGATTTGACATTGATTCACTTTAGACTTGTGTGCTGCACCTGCAGGCTTAAAAAGACAAACTCTGATTATAGCCTTTACTGTATCAAGGTGGCCCCATTTGGCCCCCTTTGGGAGCACCACTGCACTGAGGCGCATTAATCCAACAAGTGTCAACTTCTTACTTCTAATGATTAGAAAACATCAGAAAGGAGAATGAATCAGAGAATGTGCAGAGCTCATATATGGGACTGATTAACAGAGGAAAGATAAGTAGCTGCATTAAAAAGTGAAAGTGTGTGTTACCCTCACATTTAGCACACATCAGCTATAAAAGCTGTCGAGTTTAATCATCGAAACGAACTGAAACGTTTATTCTCAGTGTGTGACCACGCCCCTCGTCGCCTGTGCTGTTACGTCATCCCGTGCGCACACGGAAGTAGCATTAAACCCGAAAACTTCGGGTCTTGTGATCGCTGATCGTTTCTTCTCCGGTGTGCAAGAGCTGTCTCAACATCTGTCAGGTAAATGTTGCGTTATTGTGAGAGAGAGCTGCGGATTTGATCGCTGCCGCTTTCAGACATGTTGTAATAATAATAATGGCGCTGCTTGAATCCTCAGATGACCTTTCGTTTGAAGACATCCCTGCTCCTCACTTCTTTTCTCTCCTCACTTCTTTTCTCTCCTGTGACAGATTCATGTCACACACAGACGACGAGTGAATGTTGGTCATCCACATGCAGGAGAAGAAAAAGGGGTTTTCACTTTGTCATTCAGCCAAACGAAATCCTCCTCCTATGGAAACTGTATTTGTGTGATTTTTCTTTGTGACTTGGTATTTTTTTGTGTGACTACAGGTTTTTTGTTTTTTTAATTGCCTAATGTTTTTTTGATCGGCTGTCATTTGTGTGTGTCTGTTATTTTTTTGTGTTATTGTGTAATATTTTTGACTGATTTTATATTTATATATATAACTGGGAATTATTTTGTGTGTGTTGTTTTTCCATCTCTCTGCTCTGTCAGGATGGTTGTGCTCTCCAAAGAGTATGGGTTTGTGGTGTTGACGGGTGTTGCCAGCATGGTCATGGTTGGACATCTAGCCGTCAAAACTTGCCAAGCTCGCAAGAAGTACAACGTGCAGGTGAGCGCAAGTATTCCTGTAAATGTCCCTATCTATCATTCACCACCCACTCTAAGCATCGGCCTCTACTTTGATGAAATGGCTTTAAACGTGGGTGGGGCCTCTTTGTGCCCCATGGAATGTGGTGCAGCAGTGAATTTGTTGTGTTGAAAGATTCCAGCCTGTACAAATAAACATGCCTCGCCTTGCAGTATCCTCAGATGTACAGCGATGATCCTGAAAACGGAAACATTTTCAACTGTATCCAGCGTGCACACCAAAACACGTGAGTAAAGACCAGAGTCAGACCAGAAGACAAGCCTACAATATTTGCACACTGTGACTCAGAAGTTTTTGCATTTGAAAAGGAGGTTAAAGCTGATATAGTAATATTATAAAAATCTGTTATTGCCTCTCATTAGCCTGGAGCTGTATCCTGCCTTCCTCTTCTGCCTGGCTGTTGGTGGTTTGCATTGTCCAGTGAGTTTATTTTTGTAGTGTCATACTAACACAACCCTGAAATAAGATTTGCAGACTAAGGTGTTACAAATATTTGTTAAGCAATTATAAAACAAAGTTTAAGTGAAAGTCTGGTTGACGGGATTTTAAGAAATACGGCAATTGTATGCAGACTGCAGGAATGTGTAAGTGTTTTAACTGTGTGTTTGTGTGTGTGACAGCGTCTAGCCAGTGGACTTGGAGCTGTATGGATCGTCAGCAGAGAGGTGTACGCACATGGGTACTCTACAGGAGGTAAGAACTTGTTGTCCATTTCATTTCTGTCATTATTCAGGTGTTGCAGTGGTTAGCACTGCCACCTCACAGTAAGAAGGTTCTGGGTTTACACCTGATGACCCACTGTGGCATGTCTGTGGAGTTTGCATGTTCTCCCTTTGGGCTTTCCTCAGCTTCCTCCCACAATCCAAAGACATGAAGTTAAGTGTAATTGGTGACTGTTGGATCTGTCTAGGGTGTGCCTCGTGTCTGACCCTTTTTCCTCTAAGCTAAAGCAGTATAGCTAATGGATGTTATTGTTATTTTTTATCCCAATCAGATCCTTCAAAGAGAATGCGGGGAGCATTTGGTAATGTGGCTTTGCTTGGAATGATCCTGACCACAGCCAACTTTGGCCGCCACCTGTTGGGTTGGATGGGACCACAGATTGGGCCTTTCCGTCACGCGTCCTGTTGTTAATGAGGACAGCGACTTCAGCCTGGGTTTTACTAAAATGATTCACAATAAATACTCCTACATAAATAATATAAAGTAATGTACCTTGAAGCATGCCTGCCATAACCTCTCATCAGGGAAGCGTTGACAAGTGACCTGACCGGTTCTTACTGAGGGAAAACGCCTTTCTTAAGATGATGAATGTGGTGTTTTCACAGACTGGCACTCCTGCTCCATGTGAGATCATAAGTAAGTTTATTACCTGCTTTCTGGTTTGACAAGTTGAATGAATTGGCCAAAGACTGTATCTTTGCAATAAACAAATTAAGATAATTTTATAAAAAGGGACATGTCAGACATGTTTGATGGACAGAATAAAACCTTATGTTTGCCTTTGTTCAGCTGAAAAAAAAAGGTTATTTAAAATAGTGCAGGTGTCGTGTAGGAAACCTCAAACATAATTCCAATCACAACCGCTGTCTTTGTTATTTTTTTGTGACAGTTTCATACTGAAAAGTGATTATATTAAACATTACACATTGGTTATAAATATGTTTGTGTTTCCTCTTTTTTTGCGAGTGGAATGGGGTAATGGTTGAAATCCTGTTTAAGGGAGTCACTTTATTTACTTAAGCTGAGAATTTGTTCAAATTCAACATGACTTGTTGAGGCAGATTCACTGACAAAAGAAACATACATCAACAATGACACACGGACTGTAAGGCTTAAAGCTCATTGCTTTTAGAAAACAACACCCCACTCTGTAGATGTGCAACTGTACAGTGGTTTCTATTTTATTATCAAACAGGACAAATATCAATAAACTCTTCAGTCTAACTTTCATTTCCATATTTATACATCACTAATGGCACTTAATAGTAACACTAATTTTACATCTCTAATACATCATTTAAGGTCAAGCACATCTGCACAATATTCCAACTAATACAGATACAGGTAACAAAATAAAACGTCCCTGATGCAGCTTGACTGAAGCAAAAATGTGTGCTTGACCTAATAGATCCTCTGTAAATATGAACACATTTAATTAAAGTAGTTTGTCTTTTACATTTGATATTTAAGTGGTTATCTAGTGTAGCAGGGTGTTCTGAGTGTGCACTGGTGGATTAAATATTCATCAATAAAAGCAGAATAACTGAATTCAAGTTCAATAACACATAACTAGACATGAAAGGCTGCAATAAGAACCAGACATATTTGCCACATCATTTGGTTAGTACATGAAAAAAGTTAAATAATCTATTACTTGTCTATAACTTATCTGTTTTTCCAGCTATATGGCTTTTTAATTGTATATCACTTGCTTTTTTTCATTTATTGTGCAGCAACACTGTGGCTTTAAGACAACACGTGTGACTTGGCAATATGGTGTGAAAGTGCACTTCACTAATATTTGGTCACCTAAAAGATCATAATTCATGTTCCTTAATCATTTGGGGGCACTTTATATCGTCAATCTGTCTTCACCCATTACTCTCTAATGTCTCCCTTCATAACCTGAGGTTGTCAGTTCATTTACAATGAGGGACCATATGCAACCTTGATCCACATAACCTCATATGTCCCCTAGAGTGCAGTGTGACCATTGGTGCCACATTAAAGTGCTGTGCTTACATTGGGAAAGTCAAGTCAGGGATACACAGAAAACATAAGTTTCCCACTGACTTAAGATCTCCTTTACTTTAGAGGGAATGTGGAAAAAGAGTTGAAGTTATACACAAACTTTAAATGAGTAAAACAATCGTTCTTACGTAGCATCAGATAAACATTTTCATCACACTCATCAGCAGTGATGCAGCTGCATCAGGTAAAGGCTTTACTCGTGTCCACACTTTCTTCCTTTGGTGTCCGCTTAGCTTCTGTTACCTCTGACAGACAGGACGCGTCCATCAGTAAGTGTATCTGGAGAGCGGTGTGTCCTCCATCAAATCATCCTGGGGAAGATCATTAAAACAAAAACTTGATAAATTGGACATTAAGAGGAGTGCTCTTATAAGAATGAGATTAAAGCCCTCAAAGTCAATGAAAATATATTTTTTTAAATATACACATTCTGGACCATATATATGTTTCTTGTGAAGTAAAAAAAAAAAAAAAGCTAAAATGAATGGCTGATCAGGGAGGTGATCATCCTTACTGTAAAGTCTGCTCAGAAGTCTTACCATGGGGAGATCCTGCAGCCGATGAAACTCGGGGTGGTTTGTCCGCTGGCGGAGCTTCAGGAAGAGGACGACAAAGACAATGGCAGTGGTGACGATGAACACTGACAGCAGACCAGCCAGCAGGGGGTCTAAAGGGGAGCTTGGGTGGTACCGGGGCCCCTTCAGGTCTGTGTGAGGCAGGAATGGACAAACATAATAAAACACACTTTTTTAGATAAAATGAGAATTACATTGCACTTTCACCTGTCCGTCACCTTACCTTCATCTCCAACATTAAGTTCAGATGGGGCCTCCTGGTGTTTTGGCCCCACAGGGACTGGAGCTGGGGTGGACTGTGATTGGGTGCGGGCGGCGTGGGCTCTGGAGCTCATACTCTGCACTGTGTGGGCTGGCTGAGATGAAAAGGTGGCTGTGGGATCTGTGGCCGGGAGCGTCCTGCCCTCAGTGGTTGAGACGTGATGCAGAAGGGTGGTGTTCTGCGGCGTAGGTGTGGATGAAAGGCCGTGGGCGCCAGCTGAAAGTGTGGATGTGAGGGTAGTGCTGTATCAATTCAAAACAGTGCGGAGAATTCTTCAAAGCAAATGGAGCACACACATACACACCACCCTGCCCGTTACAGCAGGGTAACTCCCACTGACATTACAGCACACACTCCTGCTGTAATGTTATTGTTGTCAGTGTCCACCTGCGTCTACCAGCATCCTGCTTTACAGAAATTTCCTGCATGGACTCCACGGCATGAAACAGTGGTAGTGGTGGATATAATACGTTCACATTCACTGCTGTAAATTAAAGCTTTGTCGGACAAAAAATAGATTCACTTTCCCACCATAGTGAACAGTGTTTTTGGTTCAGTTAAATGGTCAAATAAAAATCACTATAGTAGAATGGCATTGCCAAGGCCCACCGGGTCCCTTCTGAAACCACATTTCAAATACACTAGATCCAAATTTCACACACTCATAAATATCAGTCCCCTAAACACGTCTGAATTTTTCATGAAATCAATGAAAATGTTGAAAAACACACAAGCTTACAATGTTAAAGAAAGTGACAAAATAATTCTTGATGTGCCTGCTGATGTGGATCTGCACCAAAATGTATTGGGTTCTTTCCTGACCCATACTGCATCCTTCAACCAAGTCATTTTTCTTATTTTTGTGTAATCTTGCTTTTAAACCAACCAACAAACACATAACATTCCCAACAGAAGTAGCAAAATAATGAATGGATGGATGGATAGAAGGCCCGCCTGCATGATACTGCATTTTGTTTGACAAAAAGCCAAAAATATACACATACGGAGGTGAGAGAGGTGACAGTGACTAAAGGGAGCTAAAGTGCGATGTCACATTGTCTGTTATTTCCGTGCTCCTCACAGAGTCAACATGGCCTCAACATGGGGTGGGGGGGGTTATATTTAACTGATCTATAAAAAAGAATCTCTTAAATAAAGTTACGACATTGTGAACGAGGGCCCTGATCCTGGAACGCTGCTGGGAGTGGAGCTGAGTCTGAGAAAAGAGACAGTGTTTGCAAACACACAGCTCTCAGGCAGCGTGGGTAGTTTTTATTTTAAGAGTTCTATCTGGACACAGTAAACAGAAAGGACTGGAAGATTAGAGTTAGAGACTTATGGATGAAAAGATGACCATAGATAATTGTTTCCCTCCAAAGCTTTTCAAATGAAGGTTTGTGCATGAAGGTTTGTCTCACCTGGAGAAGAGGCAGCACCCGTGTGAGCCTTCATGACCACTGCTGCATCCGTGTGTGCAGATGTTGCAGCTGCAGAGCTGGTGCTCAACAAGTGGGTTGTAATTGCTGCATCAGTGACATTGTTTGAACTGACTGTTCCTTCCATCCTGGTGATGGTTTCAGGAGAGGTTTCATTCTTTCCTGCAGGATCACGTGTCCACTGCAGGGCCTCATTCCCAGGATCCCCTGTCACACGGTCAGGAGATGCTGATGTGTCAGTATGACTCTGGGGGAAGACAGGGGGCAAAGCACTGCCCTCACCTAGATAAAGTGGATATAGAAATGAAATAAATTGTACATTTAATATAATATAAATAACATATAATCAATATATTATATAAATAGTTTTTTTTTCCATAGACTTGTGTTCTTATAAAAATGGTCAATTCACCAGTGCATAAAGGTGATTTGTCTTTTTGTTTAGTGGCACAGGAGAATAAAATACGTTTTTTTTCTTAAAACAACAAAAAATGATTAGCTGATTATCTAAACAGTTGCCAATTCTAATTTAATCATTAATAATTGAGTACTTAATGCAGCTCTACAGTCAAAATGAGAGGAGTTTGTTTTTTTGCTCTTGTTAACAACATATTGAGTATGCTATTTCAATTCAAGAGCAGCATACTCTCATATCATTGAGCCAGAGAATTGCTTTTCGCATTTTCCTTTCAGAAATAACAAAAACGACAAATCAATGATCAAGATCAATAATCACTTAATCAATAAAGTGACAATAATCACTTAATCAATAAATAGCAGTCTTCTGATAAACCATGATTTGAAATTTAAATCTTAATCTATGTGGCCTGGTTGCTGTAATAATGTGAAAAAAAGACATACACTGAGATAAAAGTCTAAATCAAGTTATATATTTGAAGTTAAACAGATTAATATTTGATATTGAAATGAATAAATTAGAGTTTGGTGATCTCATCTAAATAAACAGTGCACATCCGTCTGACACCAAGAATCTGATGAATGAACTAAACCTTTATAATATTAGTGAATAATGATCTAATTCAGCCTCCAGCTGTACAACAACTTTCTACAAGACGAGTAAACAGCGGAGAGCATCATGTGCTGAATTAATAAGGAGCCCAGCTCACGTCAGCAGGATGTCCACATCAAACAGACACACACACACTCACACACACACACTCACACACACACACACTGGGGATGGCACCTTACCTCTTGTCTGCGATGAGCCGGTAAGCAGCAGCACCAACACGACGAACACCAAGTTTATTTCTAATCTCATCTCACCTCCCCCTGCAGATCTCCGTAAAAACCGGACTGTCCACAGCAGCTCCGCCGCTCAGCTCTGAGCTTGTTTCCGTTACGTGATTTGACAGAGCTCATCAGCAGCAGCGCTAAAAATATCCTGAGGGAGTCGGGCAGAAGAGGAGCAGGGGTGGGGCCGCATGGCACGCGGGTGCACAGACGCACGCGCGGTCCTTACTCCAGAGAGAGCGAAAGGGTGTCAGGCTGCAAATTCATGCTTCACCTTCCATCTTTGTGTTTCCTTTTCCTCTCACAGTCACTCATCCATCTGCTTCCATCCCTCTCTGAAAGGCAGCAGTTTGCAGGCGCTGCCGCTCCGCCGCTCCAATCAGGCGCCAGTGCGTCAGAGGCGCAGTTGTGTGCGTCAGGACTCGAGCGCCTGTTGTGCACGCACGCGCACACACAATCATAAACACACAAAC